TTGAATCCATTTCCGTTTATTAAAACTTGTTTATGGTACAGAATACATCTATCTTGGAAATATACATACAAGAATAGAATGTTCTGCTTTAGGTGGAATGATCTATACATTTCAATTAGGTAAAGGCGGTTGATAAAGAGTTTTCAAGTCATACTGATTTTTTGGCTTATACTACCAGGTACTGAGATGTGTGGTGAAATCACAGTAATGGTGGATTTACCTATCCTTGCAGTCCTAACAGGAATCCTCTTCAACATTATCAGTAAGTGACCACCTTCAGAAGAAAGTATTAAGATCTGTTCAAAATACAAATGAACACTCCAATTTTGATTACCCAAAAATTTAGTGGCTCAAAACAACACACATGAATTTGGAGTTTCTAAAGTAGTAGCCAGACACAGCTTGGTTGAGGCATGTTCTCTCCTAGGCTTCAGGAAAGTTGTTGGCTGTGTCATCTCAAGGCCCAACTAACGAAGGCTCCACTCCAAGAGCACATGGTTATTGGCAGTGCTCAGTTCCTGGCAGGTTGCACAACTGAAAGACAGCCTGAGTTCTCGCTGGTTTTGGATAAAGCTGGCTTCAGGGACTAGCTACATGGGATGCACCAATGCGGTCAGCTTCTTTCAAGAAACACAACCAGAAAAGTGAAGTGTGCTAAAAAGGGATCACAACCTAAATTAATCTAAGTCTTGAAGCCCCCTGCCCAATCTTGTGTTCCATTGGTTAGAAGTCCATAGATCTAACTCACATGGAAGGGCAGACCACCAGAAAGCAGGAATCACTGGAGACTTGGCATCTCCCCCTGGAATTTTACATTACTGTGGGGTTCTTCTGAGAATACCCATTTTACTCTTCTTGTTATAGAATTGGTAAGTTCCTTCATTCGGTGGATTCCACCATACATTTATCACCCACTTGCCTGTCTACCTATTTACTTCAGTAAGATTTTTGGAGGGAAGAAAATAAATAAACTGTAAACTGACATCCTAAACTGGAATTCATTTTCTTGTTTTGCAGTTAGATTTTTGAAAAACATCAAAATATATCTAAGGCTGTGATATGAGAGATGTAAGAACCTCTTAACATACATTGGGCAAGAACAGCATTTCCCAACATACAGATAAGGAAACAGGCTCAGAGAAGTAATTCTTCAGTGAAGCCGGAAAAGATGTACTTAAAGGTAGAAAGGCAACTACTTTGCATATATGCAAACCAAATGACAAGTCCCTTGGTGATTCTCAGTTTCAAGCTCTTCTGGCAAGGGCTGAAGAGCCAACATGTTTAGTACATGTGCTGCCAAAGCAAACTGGAAGAGCCAACATGTCATCAGTAGTCTTGTGGTAGAGGCCTTAAACTAAATCTTGTCAAATAAGGAGGTGCTTGGATTAGAAGCTAGATAGAACCTTCAAGGATAACCTTCTATGGTGGTATTATTCAGAATTTTAGTAGCTGTTGGAAATTATGACAAAATTATGCAAAACAAAAATTTAACATTTTTTTTTTTAAGCCAAAGACATTCTGAAACATGAAAGCATTCTGAAACACTCAAGAAGGAAAATTTAAGAAGCACACTGTGAAGATCCAGTACCTTATTTTAAATCTGGTAATGAAAGTAGTAAATATTTTAATCCAACAATCACTTCTGGTCTTCACTTTTTTCCTTAAGGGTACAGTGCATAGGTGAACAGAAAAGGGGCAGATAAAGCCACGTGACCTTCTGCACTCAAGACACTGCATGCCTTGTTACCAAGACACGTGGCTGTGAAACATGCCTCCACTAAGGCAGGCACCTAGTTATGATAAAGGTCAAAGTTAGGCTGACACAGTGGTACACATCTGCAATCCCAGCACTCTGGGAGGCAGGCAGAAGGGTCACAAGTTTGTGCCCTGCCTGAGCAATTTAAGGACAGGAAGACTGTCTCAAAGTAAGAGAGCTCAGGTCCCAGCCTAGTAATTAAAAAAAAAGGTGAAGGTTGAGGTGAGTCACATCCCAAATGAAAGCAGTTTATGCGTGCTCATGAACCAGTTATCAAAATGAGTTTCTCAAACTTGACACTTTTTTTTTTCATGTATTTGGTACAGGGTCTCACTACACAGCTCGGACTTGTAATGTTCTGTTTTCAGCCTCCCCAGTGCTGGGATTACAGATATGTGCCACCACACCCAGTCTCTGTGGTTGGCTCAGCACGCCCAGGGGCATGTGGTGCCAGGGATTGAACCCCAGTCCCTACACATGCCAAAGCAGGCGTTTAGTCCCCTGAGCTATCTCACCGAGCAGATACTTGAGTTCTTTATGTTAATTATCTTCTTACACGTGACATAATCTATAATAAATGTCTGAATTAAAAAATAATTTTAATACCCAAATATTAACATTTTGGCTTCTGTTTATGTTTCTTTAGTCAGAATGTACCAATTTATATTGGGAAAGCACACAAAAAGAAATATAAATTCTGCGTAAGAGTTCTAAAGTCATTCTTTTGGCAGGGATCTTGGTGTCCCCCATATTACTAGTTAGCAGTTATTAATATGGCTATTACTCTTGATAACTGGATGAAACATTAATATAAAATTACATTAATAGATATATTAATATAAATTTACTAATCAAATGATACTTTGGATCAAATAGTATTTTTTAAAGAATGACATCACACTCTTCATCAACTTCCTATAACCTATTCCTAAAAGAAATGTAGGCTTATATTAAAGCAGAATATTACATTTTTTGACCTTTATATTTTACTCAGTGGTAAGCTTAAGAACAAGTTTTGATTGTAACTTATCTTTATCTATAGTACAATGGAATAAAATCATATAGAAAAAATGTTTTTCATTGATTTTACCAGGTGCATCAGCAATGTGATTTATTTTCAGTTATGTAATAAAAACACTTTGGTGTAGATTTTTCAAAAGTGATTAACCTCAGAATGAAAGTGGTCATTAAAAGATTTCTAGGTTTTGCTCTATAAAAATCAATAGAATTTCACAGTGAAGAGGTCCTAAATTCCTCGTACATGAAATCATTTAAAAATAGAAGACATAAGACATCTTTAAATCTTTAATCCTTTGATTAAGCAGCAAGCATATCACTCTTCCAGGCCAAACACTGCTTAAACAAAAAAAGAAAATAATGACGTGCAAAATATTTACAAAATATGCGAAGCACACAATAAAGACATCTCACTATATACATGTGTCATTTCTAATGAAGCTAAAACTTCTGTGTGCTCTAATGCATGTAAATAAAATTACAGCACATCCTTCAGATACAGCACCGTGACCCATGTCTGGGACAGAACAGATTTTAAGTGAATCACAACGTACTGAATAGCTGGACAGATGCTGGTGCTGACCAACTTGACGGACATATCTCACATACTGTGTACTGAAGGCCTACTGACAAGAGACAAGACAATAAAAGCTGTCAAGGTATAGAATGCACATATGCAAGACAATCTAAGTGCTTTAAAAATATCTAGGCATTTTCTTTTTATATAACTATCCCCCATGGCTTCTAAAGTAAAAATAAGTATAAATTCTTTAATGTCAAGAATTTTAAATCAGTTAAATTTTATCTGATTATAATTCAGGGCAGGAACTATTCAAGATGATCCAATGAGAAAGAAAAGGACCTATCTTGCAAAATGTTTTCAGTTACATAGTGTTCTCCCAGAGTGGTCTAAGCTTGAATATTAAAACTCATGAGTGAATGGAAATCTATAGGTCTTTACAGCTGTAGAGCCAATGCAAGGGACTGCTTTGCCAATATCTTGGGAATACATGGCCTCTTAAACTGAAAATAGGGCCTCTGATACTGTTTAGTGAAGGGGCCCTAAATAGGATGAGGACGTGCATGTGCAAACATACAGCCTGTGTTCCACTAGCACAGCAAGCAAAGTAACCTGTCCCGCCACACAGTCCTGATTCCAATATGAAGTAACATCAAAAGTATCAGTAACACTTTGTTGAAATACTATTACTTGGAAATACTCACAGGTGCATTAAGGATTATGTATCTAATTGAGAAGACTTGAAGTCTTTTTTTTTTTTTTTTTTTTTTTTTTGGTTAACAGCACAATTGATACATTTTTAGATAATGAAGAACAAATTCTTAGATTCATTTTATGAAGTAATGTTGATTTAACCCTAAACCAAAGTGCAGCTTGTTTGCAAGGAATACATGAATGTATTCAACTGGTATAGTAAAGATTTACCAAGAAAACACCCTTCATATTAAATGCAAACTATATTAGTAAGTATGAGGGCAATTTTAAGTTCAGAACCTAAACACAAAAAGGGTACTGTAAATAAAGGTTTCCATAGCCACGATCTCTACATATTTGACAAAATATAATTATTTTCTAAAGTCTCCAAATGTAGGCCAACTACTAGCTAAAGCAAATAGTATTTAGATACATAATTGTTTGTCAAAATTAACTATATTTCAAGGAACTTAAAGATATAGTTCAGCAAATTAAGTCCTAATCTTTTTGTAAAATTATTATCCAATCTTCTTATTCTGATAGATGACAGGGTCACTGACCTTTAAATAAGGATTTTGTATTAGGACCCTAAACATTGTGTTAAAGGGTTAGTAGATTTAGTACATTCTTTGTGGTTTCATATAATTGCTTTGCAATTGATTAAAGTGCTTTCTTTTAAAGGAACATATTCAAATTCCTTTAGAAAAAAAGCAATGTAGTTTGAAAAAAGGGATATGAAGCTATAATTTCTTAAATATGAATAGAATGAACATGTAGCATAATCTGTAATGCAGGCTATTTATTCTTGCACTCCTAACATAGGAAATTTTTAATTAAATAAAAGAAAAAGCCCTAATATCCTTAACTTAAAAACTTAAGGAGTTTTCACAATTCCTAAGTCAATAATCCTCTACTACAAGCCTTGACTATGAAGAGGCAGGAATATAAAGAACCTTAATAAAATAAATATAGTAAAAACGAAAAACATCTTGGTATATAGAATACTTAAATCTCTTTTCCCTTTCATGAGATCACATTGGTGAATACATATTCTAAAAAGGAGGGTAACCTGGAAGCTTTTTGTTGTATAACATTTTAGTTTAGTGAACTGAAAAATTTCTTAGACATCCACTTAATATTAGTCCACTGCCACAGAATAATTTTGCAGCCTCAGAATCTAGGAAGGATTTTGTTTTCCTTGTTTGCATCAGTCAGATAAGCACTGGTATAATGATGGGGTGGAAGTTACTGCAGCGCTGTGCAACTTAATTTTAGTGCAGTGAGGATTGTGAATCTGTCTGAATTCCAATTAGTGATGGTGGCTGCTGACCACCAACCGTGGACAACACTGGTCTTGGGTTTAGACGGGGTGGCATGGAATTAGCAGGGCGAATGAGAGGTGGTGGAGGCTGATTTAGAGTTGGCCGGGGCTGGATGAACCGAGCCTGCTGCTGCAGAGGAGGAGGCTGCCGGTGAAGAGCAGGGGCAGCAGGCAGTGTTGGACGAAGCAGCGGCGGAGGCTGGTTCAAAGTGGCAATGGGGGCTGTTGGTGTTGGAGTGGATGATGGGGCAGGAGGTGATGGACCCAGAGTCCGAGGAGTCTGTGGGGTCTGTGCCTAGAGGTGAGGAAACAAAAATACACACATGAGATGTTAAGTCCTAATGAACTAAACACAATATAGTTTGGGCTGTCACAGGAAAAACAAAACAAACCAAAACAAAACAAAAACATAACACCAGTGTTTATTGGAAGCACAAGCTTCTTTTATTTTAAACAAAACAAAAAACAAAAAAAAACCCAAAAAAGCAATGAGGCTACCAAACAGGCATCTTTATTAGTAAACAGCTTAATACTGGAAATAAAAATAAAACTATGAAAGAACAATACACTCTCCATTCTGCCAGGACCAGAAATTAGCATGTCATTATGACTCAGGAGTCACAAGAGGTGTACCACTGGGTCAGTGTATTGTCAACCTTTCATGCTCATTTAGCTAGTCCTCCAACAGCTTAGCCTTATAGAACACCACACAAAATGGTGACTCCTCAACTCATATTAGCTCAAATTCCAGACACAAACACACCTCCTCTTCTTCATCAGTGCTCTTCCCTGATGGCACATTAGAAGCACTTTTTGTCTCCTCCCCTAAAGTAGAAGCATCACCATTAGAAGCCTGGGTTCCTTGTTCTGCTTCCCACTCCTGCAATACCTCCTCTAAGTTAAACCGACGCCTGTAGTTTACAAAGAAGTTCTTCACTTGGCCAACAGTCTTGTTGCCAATTACATCTGCAATAGCTTGAAAATCTTTACCATATTTTCGGACACCTGGAAAGCAAAGTAAATAATACACCTGTGAAGGATCAGTAAGGAGAGCTGTGTGTACTAAACATCATGCACACACAAAAGATACCAGCAATGAAAATCCGTTCTGAAAAACTCTTCTCAGTTCTGTTTTGTGTTAGAGGCTAAGGTATCAGGGTCACAGATGACAACTATCAATTATGTCATTTCACTGAACCAGCCACTTTGCTTCAACTGAACAATCAGAAACTTACCATGATTTTTACATACTCAGTTATTTTCTCCAATCCTCTCTTGAACTCTCAAATATAGTCCATTTATTGTAAAGCATTGAATTCTTTGTTCCATCCTCAATTCCACATTCATTTATTTCCCTAGTAGCCAGTCACCTAAATTTGAGCAACACCGTTTGTAAACAAAACTGGATGGGAATGAGCCATCTTTTATCCCCTCAATGGACTGAGTGAGTAGCTGCAATTTCCCCTAATATTAAGACAGACATTGTAATTTTGGTCTTAACTTCAATGGGATTATTTCCCTATATCCTACCAGGGTATGAACAAATATAAATGAATTAAAATGTAAAAGAATGGTTACAACGTGACAGATTAAGAAAAAGATATTTTTACCAAGTCAGCTACATGTTAGCTCATGTAGCGCTTCTCCACTATGTAGAAAGGGCTCCTAGCCATGGGATACAGCCTCAAGAATAAGGTGGAAATGGCACTGACATTTAAGAAGGGCTGTACACTGGTATTTCAGGGTACAGATTTTCACCAATGAAGTTTTATTACAATCAAGGATAGTAAATGACTTAAGAAGCTTAGATTACCAATTACACCACAGAATTTATAATGAACAATTTGCTGTTAAAGGAATTACATTTTATGCTTGGCTCAAAATATAAAACTTATTGAAAATTATCATTTTATACTTTGTAACTGCTTTTTAAAATACCAGAAAATAATTCATCAAAGAGATGAAAACAAAGACCAAAGTTGGGTGTTTGCACAAAGTTAATGTGTATTAATATAGATAAGTTAATGAGGATATATTAATACCCCAGAAAAATGCTATATTCTTGATACCAATTAATATGAAATACCCAATTAACTGATAACATTTTAATGTAACAGTACTTTTAAGTTATGCCTTTATTTTTAATTGGGAACAAGCATCTCTGGCTACATTTAACTAACTAGGGTGGACCTACAGGGTGTTCCTTTACCTTAGCGCAATGAGAATGGGTGGTCTGAAATTATGCTACACATTACAGCCAATTCTAAATGGAGAATCTAGAATTAGTAACCTATGTTCATTTGCTCTGTTCTCAAAGGAAAGGCAGATTATATGACAGCAAAGTAAAAATGATATACATTGTTTACAATGTTTTAACAATATAAATTTATATTCCTTTTAAATCTATGGGCTGATTTACAGTTTGAAATTCACAGGTAAGATGAATTCTAATAGTGACTACATTCCACTAAGTGTTTATTTGGTAATAAAATTCCCGGGTCACCTCACAATAGTTACTCTTAAGATTTTCAAGGGCTTCCCCACTACTTACACTTTAGAAAACAGTAGCATATAAAAGACTGAATTCTATGCCACTGCTAAATTTGATGACAAACCAGTGTTTACCAGCGTAGTATAAGTGATAACTTACATAGAAATGGCAAAACCTAAGTATGACAGCATACTTTCATTTCTATGGCTTAGAAATGAAAATTTTAAGTAAGCCTAGGTTTAGATCTTTCCTATTCCTAATAAGTGACATTAAGACTCTGACCTCCCCCGTCAAAAGATAAAGTCCATAATACCTGTATGCTTTACAAAATATACTCCCCAAATTGCATAACAAATTCTGAAATTGTCTCCAAGACTGTGTCTATTATATAATTCTCTGAATCTAATCCTTTTGACTTTTGATTTTCTCTTCCTTAGTGGATTTTTTTACCTTGTCATTAATGTTGTCACATTTGCAAAATTATGGGTTCTAAATCAGTACTTCCCATAGGCCTTTAGATTTTCTAAAGACTCTGGATGTCAAGCACTTCTTCCGAGTCACAGGCATGTTGACTATTATTAGCTCAAGTAAGCTAGTCTGTAGTCTCAAGACTCACAGTATCCTGCACTCTGTAGTTCAGATGAGGATGTGGGGGATGGTTAATCTTGTCTTCTTTCATAATTTGTAAGTAAAGCAGATTGCTTTCTCAGCAAGGGAATTAAATATGACGAGTCAATCTCTGTATTTGGTTCGGATGAGGATGCCAGGTTCTGTCCTGAGAACCTATGTGCCCAAAATCCTTATCTCCTCAGCTTGAAGGAGGACTGAACAAGTGTGTAATAGCTGTAGTACCTTATAGTAGCTTCTGGACTAAAGCAGCCTCATCTGCCTGCCCCACTGTGTTAACTTTTCCACCAAGTTCCATGTTTTCTGTGTACCACGAAGAGCAGAAAGCTTTAAAGTACTATCTTACGGAATGCACAGGAGCACCTGCCATGCCAAGTTCGCAAAAAGTGCTCAAGAAATGCCCCCCCCCCCGTTTAATCGTAGTTTTCTTCCACAAAACATAGGGGGCATACAGAGTAAGCTTCTTTATCATACTCATACTCTAGTGACACTGCTCAACAAGTTTTTGCTAGAAAATCAATTTCTTTCTTTCTTTCTTTTTTTTTTTTTGCAGTACTGGGGATTGAACTGAGGACCTTACTGAGTTATCTCCCTGGCTCCAAGATCAAATTCTTAAGCTCTATGGTTAGTAACTAGGCAAACTTTAGTGAAATGCCAACTGAATTTTCACAACTGCTCTTTTAGAAAAATCCCCAACTAGGTTTCTAGGACAACTTAGCAGGGGCAGTGACGAGTCATTAGCTTGGCAAGTTTATCAAGCTATGGCCTCGTAGCTTCTGAGTTCCAAGCTATACACAGGGCATGCATGGGGGATGGGCTGTCTTGTGTCATAATTTGTAAGTCAAGCAGACTGCTTTCTCAGCAAGGGAATTAAATATGACAAGTTAATCTCCATACTTGGTAAAGTTTTACCCTCCAGGTAAAAGTCAGTTTTCAAGGATTTAAGTGAGTTTGGAGAACCCTGGAGAGGCCAACTGTAAATTTTCCAGGAAGGAAAAAAAATATTTTTGTGAAATTTCTAGACTTTACTTGAAAGCTACAATGAAACAATTTGACTTTCTATGCTGGGAGGGACATTGTGATATTTAATATATATTTTTAAAGTTTTCCTTGGAAAATTAACATAAAAATGTAACTTACTAGGATATTCTGCCAATTTTCTAAACAATAGTCTATATTACCCAACATAAAAACCCATTCATGTTCTTTTTATATTTCTCACTCATACTTTTAACATGCTGTTGAAGGTATTCTTGTTAACAATACTGATTTTATCATAATCACTGTCTGAATTATCCCAAACTCTGAATTAGTGAAGTTTGTCCATTTTCATTTTTTGAGTTTTGGTTTGCAAGATGGTAACTTCAGGAGACTTTCTCAATTTTATACATGAAATCAGAATTTGCTTTTTTAGTTAGAAGGGACGGCATGGAGCATAGCTTTTATTATATTTAAAAATTTATTTTTAAAATCTGATTTTGGACAAACAAGAGTAAGCAGGAAAACAAAGCATTAATAGTGGCAAACTGCTTCTGGGTTAGAAAATTTTAGGAGATACTGTCTCTGCTCCCCTTTTTTTTTTTAATGGCAGTGGGGACTGAACGCAGGGCCTCTGTGCTGGGTTATACTCCTAGCTTTTTTTTTTTTTTTTTGGTACAGGGCCTCACTATGCAGCTTGGACTAATAGTGATCCTCCTGTTTTCAGCCTCTCCAGTTCTGGGATTACACGTGTGCGCCGCACACACGGACTTGGTCCACAGCTGAGTGCGCTCGAGGGGCAGGGCTGGCGCGGGATGTTGTGTTGGGGATCAAACCCAGTCCCTGCACTTGCCTATGCAGGCACTTAGTCCACTGAGCTATCTTGCCAGCCCTCCCAGCTCTTTTTAATTTTTAAAATTAAAAAAAAACAAACTGAAATGTTGAAACAGGTCAATTTCACTTGCTAAACTGATCATGTAGGACTTGAATATGAGGCCTTTTGGCCCTAAGCCTCCCAGAGTGCTGAAATTACAGTTTTTCAATTCTTAAGGTAAACATATACATAATTAAAAAAGATTATCAAAAATCTATTTTTGAAATAACAGGAACATAGGAAGGTCTAGAATCTTATGGGATGTGATTCTTTTTAATCAATAAGACATAAACTCAAATCATTTTTAAATATGTGTTTATTTCTACCACCTGTAAATCTTTTCATAAACTCAACATTAAAGAAGGAAGAAAAAAGTATTAGTAACAGTACAATGACTGGTACATGTAAGTGAAAGCTCAAAGTTGAAATCATATTTTTTTTTCAATCTCTTCAGGGTGTTAACACTTCCAATTCTCTTTATTGTACACTAAATTCCATTACAAAAATGCTGAAAAATTCGACTAATCAATTGTTTGAAGTGTGCATGCAAGAGAGGGCTGCCAGGCATTTTGGGATTGTCATTCTTATGGCATCTGTTGCCTTTCAGATGCAAAAGCACAAATTTCCTGTTTCCACTTTCTTTGCTCTCTTGTGTACAAATTTACTATCCTTACATTTTTATCAACTGTCTAATCACTGTATTCTCCTATATTATGGATTACTTTAGCCTTTTAAAGTATGAGACAATCAGAAAGCAGGCAATTTCTACATTGGTAATTTCACTTCTCTTAAAAAGGATCAAATTCACAACCTATAAGATGGCACTTAACGTAAGCCTAACAACTTAAACATAGTTCCATCTCTTACATGAAATGGCAGGAAATATGAGGAAAGAACTAAGAAATTAAAATCAACATCCTGATAAAATTAGAAAAAACTTTTATCCTAAAATAACACTAAGACTTTAATTGGTCTATATTCTTTTTTCTTTTTCTTTTTTTTTTTTTTTTTTTTTTTTTTGTGGTACTGGGGATTTAACTCAGGACCCTGCCCTTGCCAGGCAAGCACTTATTCTACTGAGCTATCTCCCCGGCTTTACTAAGGCTTTATTGGGAAGCCCTTTTTTTTTTTTTTTTTTTAATGTATTTGGTACAGAGTCTCACTATGCAGCTCAGACTAATGATCTTCTTGTTATCAGCCTCCCCAGAGCTGCAATTACAGGCCTGAGCCACCACAGCCAGACTCAGAGCCCCTGAAGGTGGGGCCAGCACAGCATGTGGTGCCAGGTATCAAACCTGGTCCTTGCGCTTGCCTAAGCAGACACTTAGTCTGCTGAGCCATCTTGCTGGCCCGGGAAGCATTGTTTATAGCATCAAGATTAATAAGTGACTATACTTTAAAAAAGAAAAATATATTTAGGTGTGGTCTAAAGTATAAATGTCACATACTAGAGATCTTAATTCTGTCCCACACTTTGAAGGATGTTTTGTATGTCTTTTAAATGTATTATTTTTCTGAAAACAGCTAATTACTCTTCCATTTTTACATAAAGACACACCTTGAACCTAATTTTATTTTGCTTAAAAGAATTTTAACATTGTTTAATTTTAGGATAATTTCTAAGGGCATTATAAATTAGAACATTTATATACAGGGAACAAGCTAGAAACAGGACTTTTTACCATTAAAACACACATGAGAAAATCATGACTAGTCTCACTGCTAACTAGTTTATTAAAATAGAAAATTTAGATACCTAAGGCTAGAATACAGGACAAAAATTGTGTAACTGCTCTTGGCAAATATTTTAAGTGGTCTAAATTAGCAGCGTTAATGCTACTCAGCTTAGGGACTCCTGAAGGTTACTGCAATTGTAACATAGGTAAACTAGAATGAACACAATGAAGTGACAGACTATAAAGTTATAAACATATTCCTAATGGATATAAACATGACTCCCTATTCTCCATCAAGGGAAAAAATGAAAAACTTAACATGAATGGTTAATATTTAATTAACAATAATGTGAATAGGTCAGATAGGAAAGCGAGGTGGGAAATACATATTTAAGAACTAGGAAAGCAAATGACCTTGATGTTTCATTTTTTAACAAAAAAGTTTATAAAAAAGAATCATTTTTTTGGGGGCGGGGGAGTACTGGGGATTGAACTCAGGACCTTACACTTGCCAGGCAGATGCTTATGCCACCGAGCTATTTCTCCTACTAGAATCATAAATTTTAACAGCAGCACTAGTATTCTTATTTCTTTTTCTAAGTCACTGTGATAGTAAAGTGTGAGCAATATGATTATAAAGCATTTTACAAAATAAGTGTTAAATCAGATATATGTAAAGACCATCTTGAATATAAAGTGCTATACAAAGTAAAACGCATTAATATTAAAACATAAACTACTTTGTACAACTATAATGGTCATAAGAATAATACCACATGAAGATATCCATAAACATTAAAGAAGAAAAAAGGTAGTACTCAAACAGCTTCTAATAGCAAAGTACACATAGTTAATACACTTGATATATTTTAACATCTGAGCCTCAGGTACAGGTGACATTACTGTATGACTATATCCATAAGACATCATTTCTAGGCATTGTATAAATGTGTGGGCACATAAGACAAAATTGTGCTTTTTAATCCTTTCTAAAATAACTATTTTAGACGCAAACTGCTTTATGTTGATTTTATATAATAGTAACAAAAGCCAGAAAGTCCAAAATGAAAACAAAAGTTTCAAAGTGAAAGTAAGTAAAAAAGGGACATTAACACATTGAAATGGTCCCTCCAGTATCCTAAGAGCTACAGAGTTTCATACAAACTGCTGAACGAACTGATTTAAAAAGTTACTTTTTAAATGAGAATAGAGTACTGAGTATATCTCAATAGAGAGGAAATTTTTGATTGCATGCATTAATACTCATAAGCCAAGTCCACATATGCAGCTCAGGCTATATATACAGATCTTAGTGTGCCCTTCCCTAAAGCAGTTCTGCATGTCCAGCCCAGCCTTAAGATACCATAGACCCTAACACAGCCAATAGTGACACAAAATAGTGTAGAACCCTGAGTGTCGTGCAGAAAAATATTAGCTCCTATCTTTCTAGGAAAGCCTCTTCAGAAAATCTTGCTATGAGGGCCATTTGTTGTATTACACTATAGCACTAATGCACTAACATCTGTGCAACCTAACACTAGAAGGCAGAGTTCAATTCTCATCAGAAAATATACTAAGGAAACTTAAGCTTTACATGAATAAAAGGACTATTTTTTCACACTACTTATGCTAGAGCTGTAAGCCATAGTTCTAAAAATAAATACAAAACAGCCACTGCAAATGCTAATTTTTAAACAAAAGTCTGAATTATCAGAGTCTAATTTTAAAACAGCTATTTAACTACACCTTGTTCTGATTCATTCAGAAACCCTGCTCTACAATGGCTATGAGCAACTGGCACCCCATCTTCACAGAATCCCCCCAGTTTTTCTCTCTATGAAGACTGCTAGGCTAGACAGCTAAATGGCAGGCTGATCTCCCAACGCCATCCTTTGATATTTTTAAATCATGCTAACTGGCTAGCTCTTACTCCTGTAATCTAAACTGGACAATCATATTAGTCAATCTTTAATTGTATTATTCTCATCTCTGAATGCTACCTGGGTAGGATTTTTATACTAAAATGTATTCTCTGATGAGTATTTGGAAAGATCTTAAAAGGTGTGCTTGTTTCCCTGGGGCCCCCCTCTCTCAGAGCAGTTAGCACGGACACAAAGCTCTAACTACTCAATACAAAGAGGGTTCCCCTAAGAAGAAACAAAATGTAGACCCACTTTATAAATTACACAATCATTCCTATAAACAGTTTATCTTGAAGAAAACTCCACAGTACTTAATAAAAATACACAACATATGCCCTAAAATACTTCAAACATGAGAAAATCCAGGCTTATATTTCCAATTTGTCCTTCAGTATTCTCATAATATAAAAACTTTTGCCATACAGCTCAACAATATACTCTTTATAAATAATGCATTAAAATTTTAATATGTGTATTTTTGATGTCTTCTAAATATATAAAGCCAGGTTTCCAAACATTTAGAGATACATCTCTTAAGGCATGATACACTGAAAGGTAAGCAAATTGTTAATATTTTCAGTACCTGACACTTAAAAAAATAGAGAACACTATCATACAGAGTAATTAGAAAAACAAAAAACATATGATATCCCGTTTTCTGCTCTTCATTGTGAGTCACCAATCGGTGACACAGTTAAGAGTGAGCCCAATGGCCAGAGCACAGCAGCAGGGCTGGTCACGCTGTCTCAAGTCAGTTACTCCATGCCGGAGGCATCAGTCAGTTCAGGACCCAAAAGGCACAGACTCGGAGTGTCACACCCACAAACACAACACAGAACTCCTTGTCACCGAGTCTTTGTGGTGAACACAAGATCCCTTTCTTGATCCATTTCTGAAGAAAGGGAAGGAAGAACTACGGTAGTCACCTTTCATGACAAGTAAAATAATTATGAACAACAATAACTGCTTATCTTTAATATACCTTGCACTGCTAGAAGCTGCTCCTCTGTTGTCCAACGGGCATTAATTTTCTGATTTGACTACAAAATTAAAGAGAAGTTTCCTAATGAGGATATGAAGACAGACATTTTTTCAAACTGCTTATTTAAAAAAAAAAAAAAAAACTTTTTACCAAATCACAGACATGAGTTTACTAAAAGATTTAAGAAGATTCCAGTTTTAGAAGGATTAAAAATATACATACAGAATTACCTCTTACCCACACAGAAAGGCAATGAAAGGAAAATTATCAATTTGGGAAAATGAACATTTATGCTTTAAATTTGAGATATTAAAACTTGAGGAAACCTATTAGAGTAGTCACCCATTTTCTGACTATAAGGTTTCTATCACAGTGGAGATACTACTTTTAGTCTAGTTTTTAACATATAAAACTGTATTCTCTTTAGAAAGGATTTATGACTAACATTTCTTCTGTCCACATTTAAACTTATCCTTTCTCACCCTAAAATTGTTACAAAATTGGCAAAGAACATAGAATAGACCTGAGCCCTAAAACATTTCTTTAAATTTATGAAGCAGAAAATAACTCACTGATAATAGATAATAACAAGATGGCTTTTTTCTCCCAGATCTCCCAATATTCTTCCCAATTTGGGGGGGGGGTGTCAAAACTCATAAATGTAGTGTTTCTATTATGGCAGTATTACAATATGAAACACTTAAGCAGATTTCATTAGTTTACATCCACTGACATAAGTCAAGCTTCTGTGGCCATGGATGAAGGGACAGAAATAAGTGCAACAGCTTGGAGAGACTGCAGAAGGAACTGCCAAGTTGAGGCGACTTGCGGTTACACCTGTTTTGTGCAGCAAACAGAAAGGCGGCTTCCTTTGAGAAGGGCCAGTCAGTTCCAACCCTGCACACGCTCTCAGTAGGTACAGCTTCTACAGTGCATAGTGAAGAGGTACAAGTTAGAAAAAGGAATGAAACAAAAACTCAAAGTTAACAATCTACTTAGAGAAAGAAAAAAGTATTGAAAAAATAAAATAAATAAAAAGGACTAGAGTGAGAGAGAAAAATCTAGAACAGTAGTGACTAAATTTCAGAAAAGACTAAAGATGGACAACAAGGCAGGTCAGGCAGTAATGAGAATACTTGATCAATAAAAAAGAAAAGAGAAAGAGGAGGGATTAAAAACCCTGAGACTCATGGAAGGAAAAATAAAGGTGCAAACCAAAGCTTATAAAGCGAAAAGAAAAAAGATAGGCCCCCCCAAAAAAGATTAACAAAAATAAAGTAGGGCTATTGATCACATACATGTAGATAATTTGCTGCTACCCTGGCCAGGGAGAGTATATAAAAGTACTCCAACATCTGTAATCTCAGGGACAGGAGGATCACAAACTTGAGCCCAGCCTGGGCAAATTATCAAAAGCCTGTCTCAAAAATTTAAAGCCTGAAGATATAGTATTCCTTACTTAGACTAACAACAATTTAGAAGCTATACATGTAATACAAGCTGCTGTAAAGATCGAATTTAAAGAAATATGAGGATATATTCAGAATACATGTAAGAAAATATCTAGCAGTGCCTGAGCCAATCTTTGAGGTAAAAACTAGTGGGAAATTATCATAAATTTCACAAACTAAAGTGAAATAACGCACACTATTCAAAATTACCTTTTAAATTTTTTTAGAATCTCTTATTTATTTGGTACAGGGTCTCGCTATACAGCTTGGACTCATACTGATCCTCTTGACTCAGCCTTCCCAGCACTGGGATTACAGGTGTGCGCCACCATGCCTGGTTTTGGTGGCCAGCATGGTGCGCCTGGGGTTCTGGGGCCAGCATGGTATGTAGTACCGAGGATTGAACCAGGCAAGCACTTAGACAACCAAGCTATCTCCCTAGCCCCTAAAAATTATTTTCATCTCATTTCATAAAACTTATGAAAATATCAAGAGACTAGATGAACACAAGTAGTAATTTACAGAAATTAAAAGTACAGAATGTAAATGGGGAATGCAAAGATGGGAGAAAATGTTACACTTCTTAGTGTGTGTGTGAGAATGAGGGGAAACTAGAAGTGTGGGAGACTGAAAAGGATTTTAGAACAGAATTTTCTTGAAGGCAAAGAAAAGGTATCCCATGTACGAGGAACAGCAGAATGTATGATGTCAGGAAGAAGTGTCAAATGAGCCTGAAAAGTTGGGGTGTTCGAGATAGGATAAGAAACATAGTCCAAGAAAGGCAGTAAAAAACCAAGATCACACTAAACTTAACAAGCAAAAGGTTTTTTTTTGTTACTGGCATGTGTGAATGTATATGTGCATATGAAGTCGGCATACCAAAACAGGACTTCGGACCTGGACAGCAAGGAAAAGGGTGACACTGTTAAGATCCTAGGAAGTCAAGAAATGATTCAGAGATGTGGAAAAGGAGAGGCTAAGATTAACACGGGGTAGAGAGAATGAGGTATCTGAACATTCAGGTACAATGTAGTCTTACCTAAGAGAGATTTACTTATTCAAACACCTTTTTTAAGAATCTGGGAAATTTTTATAAGAAAAAATAATGCACTAAAACCTTACTCAGACATAAAGTTCCAGTACAAGGTTACAAAGATTTTTAAAATTTGTGTGTTCTCTGTTTGAAAATCTCTTGACATGCTAACTAAGGTGGCCGAGGATAGACACAATTGTCTCAAACATCCAAACAACCAGGTCTTCTCCTGGCCCTGGAATGGGCACTGATGTTTTAGTTCAATTCCACATGAAGCTATTGAATTAAATTTAGGGCAGTGTTGTACA